GTTGATTATGATGTGCATTACTTTACTGTTTATTCCGAATTTAGCTTGTTCTATTTGGGTCTTTTTTACTATAGTATCCATTGAGATTGGTGTTATGGGTTACATGGCTCTTTGGGATGTTAATCTAAACCCACCATCTATGGTTGCACTCATCATTTCTGTAGGATTCTCTGTTGATAATGCAGCTCATATTACATACTCCTTTGTCTGTAGTAAAATGAAAACTGGAGATGAAAAAATGAAAGATGCACTTTTCTATGTCGGAATGCCAATATCTCAAGCGTGTATATCAACAATTATTGGCGTTGGTGTATTGCCTCTTACTGCATCGTACAATTTCCATGTCTTCTTTAAAACTATGACATTACTTATGACTTTTGCTATGGCCCATAGTCTAGCATTATTACCTGTTCTTCTTTCTCTAAGTGATTCGGTCATGAATCATTTCAAATCCTCTTATAAAAAAGAACATATTAAAGATAAAGTGAGTGTTGAGAATTCAGTAGCTAAACCATTTTTAAGTACGATGATTTGATAACTAATTCACATCTTGTAATTTATTTTTTATTTTATTTTTTTCATAATGAATGATTTCAATCATTGAAAGTTTACATTATAAAGCATGTGTGATTCATTTGATATGAAATAAGGTTAACATTAATTTACATTTCAATGCACATACTTGCCTTCGCGTTTATGCACATCCTAAACATGTATGACGGAGATAAAATATATTCTTAAGATAATATGATTTAAAAATGATATTTTGATATTTTGTGTCTTTTCAAAATTGTATATTAACATTTTATTTGAGTAACAGTTACCTAGAAATTATTAAAAAAAGAAATAATAAATAATATTAAAGTAAAGAGGGTTTCTTTCAATTTTGTATTTTGTAAAGAAGTATATGCTCGTTGAAGAACAGAAATTTTGTTCGAAAACTTGCGAAAATCAAAATTAAAAGAAATCCTTTACCTTTAATATTATTTATTATTTCTTTTTCGTAGACACCCATACCTCGCTTTGCGTCGGGGTTACGTTCCAAAAAAAAAAAAAACACGACGCGAAGTGAAAATATGTGAAGGCACAATCAAAAACAAAGGTGTTGCCATATTTTAGGAAAAAAAAATAAAAAAATTAAAGACTCGAATCCAAAACAACGCAACTTCGAAAATCTAACGACGCACAGTGAAAATCAGTAAGATTTAAGCAGCGACGCAACTTCGAAAAAAACGCAAAACGAAACGACGCAAAGCGAGGTATTGGTGTATTAACATTCAACTTGTAAATGTTTCTATCTATTTGATGTATATTTTTAAACAATTAACGAAAAACATTTCTATTTTCCATCGAAAATTTTTTTTTACAAATCCTATTGTCTTTTATGCAGTGTGAAAAAATAATTGGAAGAGACCCCCTGACTCATCACAGTTTTTATTGGGTATTGTTTTAATTAAAAAAAGAACATTTTGCGCTAATAGTAACAAAATTTATTAACATATGGACTGTTACTATGCATGTGTATAGCAGTTCCTCCATGAGATTCATGCTAAAAGACAGTTTTTATTGCCAATATTCGCCATTTTTTACTAAACAGCAATTCTCCGGTATGTAGACACCTCCTTCTAAAGAACACCCCTTGTCTTTGCACATTTGTCATTATACATGTATATAGCAATCCCCCCATGAAAGGACATTCATGCTAAAAGACGGTTTTTATTGCCAATATTGCCATTTTTTTACTAAACAGCAATTATCCTATATAAAGACACCTTCCTCTAAAGAACACCCCTTGTCTTTGCTTAGTTAGATGTCTTTTACAAAGAGATTCTACTGTATTTAATGGGTTTGAAAGATTTGTACCTATTTTGTAAGAATGAGGAAAAGAAGAATTGATTGTCTTATGATAACTTGTACAGAATAACATGAAAAACCTGCTTATAAATTGTTCTGAATATACACACACACACACACAGCTTTATTAAGATCACCGGTATTATACAGATTCACGACAGAAAGGAAGCATAGATGGAGCTCCTATACTCCAGACAGCACAGAACCCAACAATTGTTCTGAATACACACACATACAGCTTTATTAAGACCACCAGTCTTATACAGATTCACGACAGAAAGGAAGCATAGATGGAGCTCCTATACTCCAGACAGCACAGAACCCAACAATTGTTCTGAATATACACACATACAGCTTTATTAAGACCACCGGTCTTATACAGATTCACCACAGGAAGGAAGCATAGATGGAGCTCCTATACTCCAGACAGCACAGAACCCAACAATTGTTCTGAATATACACACACATACAGCTTTATTAAGACCACCAGTCTTATACAGATTCACCACAGGAAGGAAGCATAGATGGAGCTCCTATACTCCAGGCAGCACAGAACCCAACAATTGTTCTGAATATACACACACATACAGCTTTATTAAGACCACCGGTCTTATACAGATTCACCACAGGAAGGAAGCATAGATGGAGCTCCTATACTCCAGACAGCACAGAACCCAACAATTGTTCTGAATATACACACATACAGCTTTATTAAGACCACCGGTCTTATACAGATTCACCACAGGAAGGAAGCATAGATGGAGCTCCTATACTCCAGACAGCACAGAACCCAACAATTGTTCTGAATATACACACATACAGCTTTATTAAGACCACCGGTCTTATACAGATTCACCACAGGAAGGAAGAATAGATGGAGCTCCTATACTCCAGACAGCTCAGAACCCAACAATGCAAAATAAATTGCCATCTATCAATAAAATATATAATTATTAATTTTGGCAATGTGTTTCTTTTGATAAATATTAGCAAATATTATCTCTACAGACTTTATTGCAATTATATATTTTTATTATTATCCCTAATACGCGTTACAGGCCATGATAATCATGGTGGGTAGAAGTTAGTGACTGCTTTTTACTGTAAGTGTACCACATGTCTACACATGAGAAAAGCAGTTCGACTTTTACACTTACAAATATGCCATAGCCCTGTTTAGTTACTTGCACTCGCTGGTGGGGTTGGACTTTTGAAAGAATCGACGGCCATTGGAGCTTTCTTTTTTTAATTAGTGCCCAATGAAGTGCCCAATGCAGGATTCGAACCCGGGTCGTAGCGGCCGAAAATCCAACGGTTTATTTGTAATGGCATATTTGTAAGTACAAATTCGAACTGTGGGTAGACATGTGGTGCAATTATAGTAAAAGCAGTCTCCAATTTCTACCCACCATGATTATCATGGCCTGTACCACGTGTAGTAGGGATATCCAAAAAATAATAATAATAAAGAGAAAGAAGATAACTCTAATCATTGCAGTAAGATCTATAGAGATATTCTTTTATAAAATTTATCACAAGAAACACTCATTACACTAAAAGTATTATTACAATTAACAACTCACTCTTCATTAATATAATTACTATATTACAGATTGTTATATTCATATTTAGTTTTGATATTATTGATGGTATGTATGAATCTGAATAAATATTATTTATTTTTGTCTTAAATTATTTGTTTCAACCCACACAGATATATTTTGAGCAATTTCCAAAAGGTTTTGGAAAATGTTTTGTATTTGTGTTGAATAGCGAACTGATCTCCGACGTCATTGGACCAATGTGGCCATATTTGTACATAAAGAGGGTTCAAAGGGAAGGCGGAGACTCTGACAGAAGATATTGTGTGGAAACGTTTAAAACATTCTCTGTGTTTGTGTCTGGTGATCTCCTCACATACCTGTGTAACCCCGGTCCTCTCCTTATCAACGCTGCAATAAAAAAATAAGTACTGGTTTAGTTATAACTTATCGTGCTTGTTTTTTAATTTATTTATGTCCGCCAATATTTGTTATCGTATCTTTTGTGTGTACTTGTTTTGATGTGATTGGCTACTTTTTACTTTAGGCACTAGAATTTTTTACATTTGTGTGTTCTTTTCACATGGGGTGGTTCTGAAATCGACCCCCACTGCCCTTTGAGGAAAGTCCTTTGGCTTTTAGGGAGGGGGGAACGTGTTGGCTTCTGAAACCAACCTTTCTATCTTCCTTCCTTCAGTCTTCTTTTTTATCTCCACTCAATCATATTAGGGTATCAAGCTTGTTTGACAACCATCGTGACTGAGTGAAGTAGAATTCGTCTGCCTTTGTCATTAAGACTGGGAGCACTACTCAGTGGCAGGCCGACTTAGCTCCAAAAGAAATGGCCGCCTCTGACATAAGGAACAGACACCATGTACAGCCGCTCTTAACATGGAGTACAAACGCTGCTCATCCTGTATACCTGGATTAGGAGCCCTTACAGGGTACTATCAGCCGGGTCAGCTGAGCCCAGTTTTTTTAGTGAACTTGTTACTGCTCCCCTTCCTCCTTTTTCATCCGGGCTTGGGAGTTCTTCCTTCAGTGACTTCCTTTAATGCCTTCCTCTACTGAGGGTGGGCCACATGGTCTCTCCATACTTCCTCCGCCATCCTCTTCATCTCCTCGTGTCGCCCAGTCCATTGTTTTAGATCGTCTGTGTATCCCTGTCGTCTCCTTCCCCTCAATCTCTTCCCTTGGAGCTTTCCTTCCAACACTGTCAGCAATGTCCCTAATCTTAGATAGGAAGAACAGCAGCTATATCTGAACATTCCATATTAGGGATAACAGATAAAACGGAAAATTTCTATATACGGCTATGTTCCAACCTAGGTTAGAATACAGTCTTATATAGACACTATTTAGCCTAGAAACCCTGTAAAAAGAATCGAAAATTGAAACTCTGCAGGGTCTTATCGACACTACTGAAGAATTTGTCAAATGATTTTACCCTTTTATTTTAAAACATTTGAAAATTATCCCTCGTGTGTTTCTTTTAAACGAAAAATCTAAATTTAATTTAAGGAGAAATAACGATTATTTCTAACCTTAGGGATGAGGTATGAAAGGATGAATTGTGAAGAGTAATGATAAATGGAAAAATAAAGTATCCAGGGATGGGAATCGAACCCACAGTGTTCCGCTTACCGGGCAGATGCCATGTCCACTAGGCTACCCTGGACATATTTTTCCGTTCGTAAATAATATATAAAGTAATTTATAATACAATATAATGCGGCTTATGATTTTAAAACTACCTTTGAAAATTATCCCGCATGTGTTTCTTTTGAAGTAATTTTAGTTTAATAGTTCAAAAAAATCCTATGTTTCAATATTAAAGTAAAGATATCAGGATTCTGGGAATAAGTTTCCTTTTAAATATTTTAATTCACAAATTTCTAGCTTTCGGTCACGACAGCCCTTCTACAGGTGAAGACACTCTACAATAAAGCTCCAATAGGACAAGAGTTAAAATCAAATATAGAGGGTGTTTTTATAGGTATTTGAATGTGTAGTTGAATCCTGTTTAAATCTGCATTCAAATAACTATAAACACACTCGATATATTGATTTGATTTTTAACTCTTGCTATTTTGGTTATTATTATATCGTTTTTAACAATCAATAAGCAATCTTAAAATAGGTTTTAAAAGACTTTTCTGTTGTGACTTGTCTAAACTTTGGAAGATTGGAATAGACAAGGTCTTTTATGACAACATGCATGTATGGATTAGTGTGGCGACCACCGGAGCAAGGCAATGCTCGAGGCCAAATTTAGATACTTGTAGATGGAGTGTTTATTAGATCTCTTTTTCTGTTGTGACCTGTCTGAACTTTGGACGATTGGAATAGAGAAGGTCTTTATGCCAACATGCATGTATGGATTTGTGTAGAGACCAACAGAGCAAGGCAAGGCTCAAGGCCAAATTTAGATAGATAGTGTTTATTGAATCTCTTCTCCTGCTGTGACCTGTCTGAACTTTGGAAGATTGAAATATAAGAAGTCCTTTATGCCAACATGTCTGTATGGATTTGTGTAGAGACCAACAGAGCAAGGCAAGGCTCAAGGCCAAATTTAGATAGATAGTGTTTATTGAATCTCTTCTCCTGCTGTGACCTGTCTGAACTTTGGAAGATTGAAATATAAGAAGTCCTTTATGCCAACATGTCTGTATGGATTTGTGTAGAGACCAACAGAGCAAGGCAAGGCTCAAGGCCAAATTTAGATAGATAGTGTTTATTGAATCTCTTCTCCTGCTGTGACCTGTCTGAACTTTGGAAGATTGAAATATAAGAAGTCCTTTATGCCAACATGTCTGTATGGATTTGTGTAGAGACCAACAGAGCAAGGCAAGGCTCAAGGCCAAATTTAGATAGATAGTGTTTATTGAATCTCTTCTCCTGCTGTGACCTGTCTGAACTTTGGAAGATTGAAATATAAGAAGTCCTTTATGCCAACATGTCTGTATGGATTTGTGTAGAGACCAACAGAGCAAGGCAAGGCTCAAGGCCAAATTTAGATAGATAGTGGTTATTGAATCTCTTCTTCTGTTGTGACTTGTCTGAACTTTGGAAGATTGGAAAAGAAAAGGTTTCTTATGCCAACATGGCTGTATGGATTGGTATGAAGGCCACCAGAACAAGACAACGCTTGAGGACAAATTTAAATAGAAGGAGTGTTTATTGTATCTCTTCTGCTGTGTCCTGTCTGAACTTTGGAAGATTGGAAGAAAGATGGTCCTTTATGCCAACACGGCTGTATGGATTGGTGTGGAGACCACCAGAACAAGGCAAGGCTCAAGGCCAAATTTAGATAGATAGTGTTTATTAAATCTTTCTTTTTCCCTGTTGTGAACTGCCTAAAATTTGTAGGATTGGCCAAATTTAGATAGATATTGTTTATTAGATCTCTTCTTCTGTTGTGACCTGTTTAAACTTTAGATGATTGGAAGAAAGAAGGTCCTTTCTGAAAACATGGCTGTATGGATTGGTAGGGAGGCAACCAGAACAAGACAAGGCTCGAGACCACTTCCTTGTTCGATGCAGAATGTCCCCGGTCGTCTGAAGCTAAGCCCAAGCTGTCTCTCTTCCCCCCCCCCTTCCCCCCTCCCACAACCGTTGGCCATTCCGCCCCCTCACATCCGTCGTCTGCTATTTTCAGCTTGAATGTGGGGGAACTTGGGAACTGAAATAAATTCCTTTCCTCGCCATATTCCCTTTCAACTTTTGTTCTAAATGAAGACCTTGAGATTTTTTTTTTTTTTTTGGGATTTAAAAATATTTTATTAATATCATACACAAGTCAATGGAAGTAGTATATAATGATTATAAAAAGAGGGAAAAAAATAAAAGAGTAAACTATATACAGTTATGTACATGAGGACCTTGAGAGAATTTTCTTTTTTAAATTTTAAACCTCTAAACGTCTTGATGAATCTAAATGTCCAAAGTGTTGTGGTTCACTTTCAATTAAACATCGATTACCTCTCATTAACTCGTTTTTATGGGGGGGAATTAATATACCCAAAAAAGTTTTTTTTAATTTTTCTTTACCTACCTACATATATCCATGTTCAGCAATACCCACAAACTTGCAGAAAATTGACATGGACCCAGAACAACAGCTTTACACACCAAAGATAGAGAACATTGCTGTGATAGAGATGTATGGAGATATCTGAGGCTCTTCATTGGACACAACAACAACAGAAAATTGACATGGACCCAGAACAGCAGCTTTACACACCCAAGATAGAGAACATTACAACTGCTGTGATAGAGATGTATGGAGACACCTGAGGTTCTTCATTGGACACAACAACAACAACAGAAAATTAACATGGACCCAGAACAGCAGCTTTACACACCCAAGATAGAGAACATATATACTGCTGTGATAGAGATGTATGGAGACATCTGAGGCTCTTCATTGGACACAACAACAGAAAATTAACATGGACCCAGAACAGCAGCTTTACACACCAAAGATAGAGAACATTGCGACTGCTGTGATATAGATATATGGAGATATCTGAGGCTCTTCATTGGACACGACAACAACAGAAAATTGATATGGACCCAGAGCAGCAGCTTTACACACCCAAGATAGAGAAAATTGCGACTGCTGTGATAGAAATGTATGGAGACATCTGAGGCTCTTCATTGGACATAACAACAACAACAAACAAGGTTTATTCAAACTTCGTTTTTGATCAAGGAAAATTCGTTTTAAATAAAGAAACAAACAAAAATATAAAAATTTTCAACATCGCTATATAGGTCTAATTTCTGGGAAAATATCGATTCTATTAATAAGTATTATGATGCACTAGCGCGCCATCTGTTATGAAAATTCGAAACTATTATAGACACGTATGATTCTTTTAAACTGGCGAAACCGCTGGAAGGGTTCACTACTGATGAGCCAGGTCCTCTCATTGAATTTTACATTGCAGTAAGGGCAGTAGAAATTGTTTTATTTTTAAAAGAATCATACGTGTCTATAATAGTTTCTAATTTTTTAATGATGAGTATAATCAAAATTCGAAACTATTTCAAACGCATAAGATTCTTTTTGAAATTAAACAATTTCTACTGCCCTTACTGCAATGGAAAAATTAAAGGGAGGGCATGGCTCATCAGTGGTGAACCCTCCCAGCCAGGCCTTCCCTTTAACTTTTCCATTGCAGTAAGGGCAGTAGAAATTGTTTACTTTCAAAAAGAATCATACGCGTTTAAAATAGTTTCGAATTTTGATAACAGATGGCGCGCTAGTGCATCGTATTATAAATGAGTATAATAAATGAATTCAACGTGCTTTTGCTACAACGTAGATAAATATTGAATAAATTAAATTGACATTTATCGATTAAATATGTAACAAAAATGTTCTGGTAATTTGTTTCTTTTCACCTATATCATCAAATATCTTCACAGATCTTATTACAATAAGCCAAAAATCCTCTCATTTAACAACTTTTATCATTACAGTAAGGTCTATAGAGATATTTGATAATATATGTGAAAAGAAACACATTATAAGAAAGGAAAATATTCAAGCATTCAAGTTTCTTTTAAAGATAAAATACACTTCTACTGTCCTTACTGCGATTAAAATATATTGGGAGGGTTTGGCTCATCAGTTGTGAATCCTCCCAGCGGTTTCGCCAAATTTAATCTACCAGACCGCTTCTCAGAGCACTAATACTGTATTGGAGCATTCTGTTTATATATGCTGGCACGCTTATATACCGTTGTGAGGGTTCACCACTGATCAACCAAGCCCTCCCAATATTTTTCATCGCAGTAAGGACAGTAGAAATGTGTTTTATGTTTGAAAGAAACTTTCATGCTTGAATGTATTCCTTTCTTATAATGTGTTTCTTTTTACATATACGTATTATTAAATATCTCTATAGACCTTACCTACCCTGAGAGGGAGCAACTCCTCAGGCAGTTCTCGCCAGAAAACCATTCTGTGTGAATTCCTCAACATGGCAAATGAACATGTTGGTGACAACACCTCCATTATGGTCAAGTACCTATCCGGACTCAGGGCGGCTTGTAGCCCTTGATGTAATCTAGACATCCCTCGGGGAAGGTCTCAAGTCTGATGTCATGTATATATTTTATTATAATGATGTTATCTGTAATGTTGTAACTTTGTTTTTATAAATGAGAGGGCTTGGCTTATTGCAGTAAGGTCTGTAGACATATTTGATGATATAGGTGAAAATAAAGACATAGCCAGAAACTTATTGCTTTATGTTTAACACTTTCGACCCGAGGGACGTGCGTCCTTGCCGATTTTGCCGATCAAGCTCGAAAAGCGCGAATTCACGTCCTTGATTTTCAAAATTAAATATAAAATCACCGGCGGCCGACACGAATTCACCTCCACCAGGATCTTGTCCCTTCTTGTCTATCTATCAGTGGGTTGGGGGGATGTTAGCTAACCTAATGTACCTGTAATACTTCATGTGAGACCACTGTTCCAGCAGCTCCTATTGCCTGTCTATGCAACTGTGGAATCGCCTGTCCTCAAAGTGTTAAAAGATGTTGGAGAGTAACTTCGCACATCAGCCGTTGCCTAGCAACGCCACCTTCCTACCAGACCTGGCGCCACCCCGACCGGCTGTACCTGTAGTGTTTAGTTTAACTTTGGTTGTCTGCCCCTACGCT